CAGCTGCAGAATGAACATTTTTTTATTGTCTTTTAGAGAAAAAAAAAATCTTTATGATATCAACTTATTGTAATACGACAAAATAAAGCTGGTCTTTATTACCGTGTGTGTTTTTGAGGTGATTGTGGGTCATGACGTGTAACTGTCAGAACATGAGGTAAACAGATTGTCGGCTAATTCAGGATCTTTGTTCATTTAACACAAGGTGAAAATGAATAATTTTGTTGACTTTTTCCATTTTCATCACTTTCCTTGTTGTCTTGGTGCACAAAGAATGAAGAAATGTCACATAATCTTTATTTATATCTATACTTGTGGCTCCTGCACTGTTCCATCAGGTGACCTGATGTCATCGTGTGCAACTTTATTTCCTCTAGTGGCTGCTGAAGGTTTCTTCATTTATTGCTGTGAAATGCAGAAACGTGTCTCTTTCTTCTATTAGTAACACAAAGCACTGATGAGTTACAGTTGTAGTCACCCTAAACTTTATAGTTGTTCTTGAAAACTAATGTTTGTTTTAAGGTCAAACAATGGAAGCATCGGCACAGACAGACAACACGCAGAGACAACCCAAAGGGACAGTCTGGTCATTTTTAAAGTGATGATTTGTCAAATCAGTTAGTATCTTATCAGACATGGCTTCCGTCATAGAGCATGGATTATGATTTAAAAAAAAGAACAAAATGTTTTGTATTTTATTATTTTTTTCAATATAATTGTAGGAAAAACAGCTGTTACAATCTGCATAGAGGGCGGCTGCGGCTGAGTGGTTAGAAAAGTCGTCAGTATAGCTCAGTATATTGAAATGCAAGAGTTGGGGGTTCGATTCCACCAGCAGTCACATGCCGAAGTGTCCCTGGGCAAGACACTGAACCCCTCACTGCCTCTGATGTGTGTCCCATCGATGTAGGGATAAAGCACTGATCTTAGGAATATTCTAAAGATATTGCTTTTTCTTTTTGGCTAAAGGTTTTAAAGAACTAAATCAATCTATCTATCAATCTATCTATCTATCAATCTATCTATCTATCAATCTATCTATCTATCAATCTATCTATCAATCTATCTATCAATCTATCTATCAATCTATCTATCTATCTATCTATCTATCTATCTATCTATCTATCTATCTATCTATCTATCTATCTATCTATCAATCTATCAATCTATCTATCAATCTATCAATCTATCAATCTATCAATCTATCTATCTATCTATCTATCTATCTATCTATCTATCTATC